CCCCCCCCCCACCCCCCCCCTCCATCCCTCCCTCTGACATTTCTACTGTTTACTTCTCCTTTCTGCCTCTGACCCTTAGGGGGGGGGTGGGAAGAGAGAGAGAAAAAGAGAAGGGGGAGAGAAAAAGAGAAGGGGGAGAGAGAGAGAGAACTTCAGAGAGAAAACCTTCAAAATAATTTTATTTCTTATGAGTAACAGACCCGAGAACATAACTGCTTTTCCATGAAGGGACAGTCGTGAGTTGATTTGCAATCACTCAATCGTCACGCAATCTTTCCATTTAGCAAACGCTCATCCTCAACCTTTACGATATTTTAGCAACTACCGACGTCAAATTGTCAACTCTGAAGGTAAAGTGTTGTTAAATAAAATACCTTGACGCCTAGAGTGTTTCCATTCAAGGGGGAAAAGGTTGGGGATGAAGGGGATATTTCCTGGCCATAATGACTAATTCCTCTACTGTAGCTATGAATTAGGTTCACCACTACCAAATCATCTTTTCTAATTGGCACACGTTTCATCTCATAAAAGAATCAAGACACCCTATATATAAAAGCATATCATTCCACTGCAGTCTGAGCCTGCTGCCCGTAGTGGAAACCTCAAGTGAAGGTGTTGTATTGAATAGAATGCAGAATGTCATTTACCCATCACGTTTTTGGCTGTCACATGCGCACGCCCAACGATATCGAAAACGGAGGGCACGAAAGAATCTGCTGATATAGATGTGTCCTTTAACCCTTTTAGACCTGGCGTCCATTCCAATGGAAATTGCATTTTCATTGCGTCTATGGTAATTTCTTTGGATTCTCGTGACTTTGCGCCCCATATTACACTACAATGGGCGCAATTGTGCATGGCTCAATTCCATCGGAGGTCTTCTTTCACCCGTCAATTTTGTAATCTCCAGTTATATAATTAAATATGCAATTTAATATATATGATATGATATAGTAAATTTATAAAAACGATATATAAAACACAAAAATTTAATTTACGATACCGAAAGAGCTCAAAAATGCAAATATATATATTATTTCGATAGTGGCCTTAATTCAGGTCTGAAAGGGTTAAACTGAAAGACTAATTGTGGCCGGTGATTAGGGCCACACTCTTCAGGGTCTTCCCCTGCAGGTTTCTACAATTGACGTCAGTTTCAGCTTCCAATTGAATGATGCATACATTGATTTTCGATCGATTGCGTCCCCTACCCCCTTCTGAACGACGCCCCCATATGTCATGCAACTTGAGCAAAATCTGCAGCCTCAAAATAACTGCACCTGGCTAGATCAGTGTCTGAAGAGAGAATGAGAACTTCCCGCTTCCACCGCAGCTGAGGGAGGGGATATGCAGTCACTCGAAAATCACTTTAGTGTGCAGTATATAAAAAATTTAGAGATGGCACTAGTGCATATACGGCTGAGCATATGCCGCTGACGTATGTACACTAGGGCCGTCCTTCTATCCAATTTTTTAAATTATCAATTACTCTGCTTTCAGATTATATTTGTCCCCCCTCGGGTAGTGGAGAACGGAGACAGCACTACTTCCAGATGATCCGCTCCGTTTGATGATCCGAAAAACCACCCTTGTGGAAGGTGTCACAACCTCTAATCCATGGAAGCGCTCCTATGGATCCGCGAGTTCAATCCGAAACCGCAGGTATGTCAATCACTGATGGAAAGTCATTTCGAAGTAGGAATGAGTTTTGCATATTCAGGCAAAAATTGCTTTGATTAGATTTTGCTTGTAGTATCCAAAAACATTGTAACCACGTCTCGTACCTGTACATGCATTATCCTGTGAACTGAACCTGATTGAAACACGATGAGATCGAAAAGGCGGCATCTATCGCAAGTGCGAGGAACGGCAGTCTGCTGTTCACCTCGATAGATGGAGAGTATGCGCCACTGCCAAATCGAAATGGCTCGCCTCAACAAGGTTGTGAACTTAGAGTATTACTGCTGTCGCTGTCTGAACCTCTCCAAAGGCTCATTTGCTCGCAGTAAAATAGCCAAGCCTATGATGTCCTTCAGAATAGTTTTTCCTGTATGAATATGAATGCAATGTTAATATGCTTCAAACAAGTTCATATTAGGAATTCGATGGTAACGTGATTTCGTTTAGGTAGAGATTGGCATGAAACGTCTTTCATAGACCTAGTTAACGGTAGCGTTAGCGTTTAGGCGTAAGGTGTAAGCCCCGGCCTTGCCCAGTTATCGTAGGATGTTAACGTTAGGTGTGTTTATTCGCCTTGTGAACACGCCTCGAATTTGCCTTGCGAACACAAGCCAGTTTTGTACACAGCCATTTCTGTCTCAGCCTTACTTAAGGCGTTCAGTTCAATCCCATCCTTGTTAAACCTGACATTTTCGAATAGACATGTATTTTTTATTTGACTCATATTAGTCATTCAGAATTCTCAGTAGAAAGCCATAGCAGGCTATAAGGCAAACTCAATTTAATGCCAGGTGCTGCTTTTATTATTAGGTGTCAGAACACTCAGGACCAGGCAAATGTCTGTGATGCTCTCATTCACTTATTGGCTGAGTTTGGATAAATATAAATTTTTATTAAGTCCATGCGTTCACCATGGAAGTGTGGAACAGGCCAAGGAAACATCAACGGTCAAAGGAGTTTAGCAGTGGTCTGATCATTTTGTAAGTACCTTAATAAATGGCAAGCTACTCAAACATAAAGTCATGGTTATTGCAGCAGGTCATAGGCTCTACATCACTGGGGAGACCAACACTGTCTTCCCTTGGGGTAATTCTTTGCAGCATTCATTCCATGCACATGATTTCTATTATGCCTACTGCACATACCTGTGCTGTTGGATTCAGTAGCAGTGGGTGTCTTTAGACTTCAGTGTTCACAAGATGAAGACTTTGTCATGCTGGTGATGTTTACATTGCATTCACAAGACAAAAAAATACTACCTAGACTAGCCCTCGACTTAGATGTTCAATCATGCATTCATTTAGATAACAAAGGTGAATCTGGATTTTTCTGCAGGAAGCTCAGTGAAAGGGGAGGACAAGTGTGCATTGTCCTAACCTGGACTAATCAAACACCAGGACTGAAAAGTTGTAACTTGGTTGAGCCTAATAGCTTGGCCTAACGCGGGCCCTGATATTAAGTCGGCTTTGTCCTATCAAAAGGCAGACATGGAAGATAATGAGAAGAAAGCAATGGACCTCATGGCTGAGGCCAAGAGGAAAACAGGTGGTGGAAAAGGCTTCTTTGGATTCCTCACGTAAGCCCACACATCCTATGCCCCTAAGGTAGCATAAAATGTATGGTAGGCCTAGGTATATCTATGCCAGTTTCATAGAAGACCTAGAGGCTTAGTATTAGAAGTTAGAAAAATATCAAGGCTTATTCAAGGCCCTTGACATGGAATTGTTTAATTTTTCTTGTTGGGATGCTGATGTCATGTCCTCATTTCTTTCTAATGTGACAATTCAACAATATCAGGAGCAAAATTGCCATATCTTAGCATTCTCTGTTGTTTTTTATTGCAGTGGCTCACGAGGGGAAGAAGCAGTAGAACTGTATCAGAGAGCTGCCAACCTTTTCAAAATGGCAAAGAAATGGAGTTCTGCTGGACATGCTTTTTGTGAAGCCGCTTCCCTTCATCTGAAGAGTGGTACCAGGCATGAAGCAGCCACTTCTTATGTTGATGCTGCAACTTGCTATAGGAAATCTGATGCAAATGGTAGGCCTAGAGGGAAAAATAAGCCCTTTTTTTGACACATTTGTGGACAAGACAGCCATAGCAATCTTCCTTGCAGTCCTTCTGTGGGACAAGACAGCTATTGTTGCCCATGTATCTGATGGGACTACATCAATGAGAACATGTGGGACATAAGTGACTTGAAATGTTATTACAGTTGAGCCCACTTGAAATACAGCAGCATTTTTTTGGGTCTCAAGCCAAAATCCAGGTGTCCATGAATGTGTTAAAGGATTAAAGCTGCTCTGTAAGGTAAAGGAAGTGAAAAACATGTCATTGTTTCTCCATTTTCTTTGTAGAGGCAATCAGCTGCTTATTGAAGGCCATAGAGATCTACACAGATATGGGTAGATTCACCATGGCTGCCAAGCATCATCAGACAATAGCTGAGCTGTATGAGACAGAAGTTCTCGATCTGGAGAAGGCCATTCAGCATTATGAGAAGGCAGCTGATTATTTCAAGGGGGAAGAAAGCAGCAGCTCTGCTAACAAATGCATGCTGAAAGTTGCCCAGTTTGCTGCTCAACTGGAAAAATATGATAGAGCCATCCAAATTTATGAACAAGTGAGTGATCTCATCTGGTGTGAATGAAGGTGCTAATTACATGTCAACAAATGTTAGTTAGCTTTCACCTTTGATGAACTACTTTGGCATTGCAATTTTTTGAGTAATTTAGTATGTATATGTTTCTTAATTTCTACAAATTGTGATAGAGAAAAACTACAGCAGCCAAACATGAGATATTGTGCCTAAGAGATATACTATATGACAGTGATTTCATGTGATTTTTAATGGAACTCACTGCATAATTTACATGTGGCCATTCAAATCATGTCCTTATTGACTGGATAGTATTCTCACATTTAATGGAATTCTGAATGGCTGCTATATTTTTCTTGGAAGTGTTATCCTAATTTTGAGTACTTGTGCAATATTCTCACTTTTCATGTTGTATGCTTTTGTTACCAGGTGGCTGCCAACTCACTGGAAAGTTCTCTTCTCAAATACAGTGCAAAAGAGTACTTTTTCCGATCCTTGATTTGTCACCTCTGTGTGGATGCACATAATGCCCAAATTGCCCTCCAAAAGTATGAGGAGATGTATCCAGCATTTCAAGACTCACGTGAAGCTAAGCTGATCAAGGTGAGTAGTAGTTCAAGTATTTGCCAAAGTTATTCACACTGGTTCAAACTGAGGTCATGAAAATATGCAGGGTGAGCATTTGGTCAAACTAGCCACTCAAAGAGGTTTACCCCATCTTATGAGTCATTGGCCTTGAATCTTGGTAGTGCAGGTTATAATCCCTTTTGGATTATGGGTATACCATAATCACACATGCATGGGTGCCATATGTAGGTACTAATGGAATATAGATGGACTAGGTGCTAGTTTAATAAATGTTTGAAGTGTCCACCATTTTCCTCAACGAGAGTATACACTTATGACTGTAGATTATGTACACCCAACTACAACATGGAGGTTTAGGAGCAGTGACCACATGGGATAATAAGTCTTTAGGTTCTGCCAGTTCTCTGGCAATTTGATCTCATGAGCAGCTGGCATGAGTGCCCTTGCAGAATGCTTTTATAGCCACAATAAATCAAATTTTTTCACCCCTTGTAGATGATAATGGACCCATAATCCTCCTCTTGAACTGCTTCAAGATTCAAGGTCATATAACCCACAGATGCTGAGATAAACCTCTCAACTGACTGTATCACCTAGTACATTTGACAGTTACCCAGACATAGCACATGTTATGGACTTTTGACCCTAATTGTATCAGTTCTGTTAGAGAGAAAAGAAGTATGCATAATGGTTATTAAACATGTTGAGAGGGGATTGGTAATTTCTAAATTTTCTGGATTTGTGATATTTATCTTTCTAGAGTCTGATTGGCTGTATAGAGGAGCAGAATGCAGATGGATTCAGCGAGGCAGTGAAAAACTATGATACTGTATCCCGCATGGATCAATGGTATACCACATTGTTGCTTCGAGTCAAGAAGGGCCTCAATGAGAATCCTGATCTCCGCTGAGGAAACTTCAATTTTGCATCTTGTCATTATATACAGGGTATCCCAAAATTCAATTGACACAGTATGTAATTCACATGTTTGAAAATGATTTATTTATAATTATTGTCATTTATGAATAATAATTTGTAAATGATAAATAATTAATTTTCAACATGCAAAATATGTTCAGTGTCAAGTGTAAAGTGACTTTTGGGATAACCTGTATTAAACTGCTCTGTGGTTTTGTTTTATTCTGCTCCTGGAATGCATATGGTTTTTTGTAATGCACAGGAGTAGTGGAAAGCTTGGAATTCCATTATTATTATGGCACCAGCCAGATTTCCAAAGGATCTGATCTCAAGCCCATTTTGGAAAGCCAGGTTGAAATGATGTAGAGTTAGATCAACAACCAGATTGCTATTGCTTTGTTTGTTTGATCCCTAAAGAAAGTATTGTAATGTGAAGATCATGTGGAAAATTACCCCTATAGGAGTGATCAGGTGGATCTGTGAGAAGCCTGCAATGAAATTGGAACCCCCTGGCACCATTTTATATCAGATCCCTATTCTGTGCAAGGTTTTTCCACTCTTTGTCTTGGGCTAAGGCCATCGTGATAAGAGTTAGGCCTCTAGCCATTTATTTGTCAGGTAGGAGCTTGATTAAGAGTCCATTACAGGCAGGGAAAATGTGACCTCAGATATTAAAGGATAGGGATGTCATTCATTGGTTTTTGAGTTTAAGGCTTGATTTTGAATATGAGAAGCAGTTGCTCTTGAAAGTTTTGATTGATAGGCAAATATTTCATAATTTAAAGGTCTAGCATAGAATGAGTAACAGTTCAATCATTCACTGATTCATTGTGTTGAATGACCTAATTCATTTTCCACTCTGGCTGAAACTAATCACAGACTGCCAGAGTCTGCAACTTAATAATGCATATGACAAAGGATCAGAACAGTCTGTCATGATGAAACATAATGAATAGACACTGCCCAGGGATCTGCAAGTTGGCTTTTCCTATTAGACTGAAATTACAATCTCTCAGGCCAATAATTGATCCTCATGATCATGCAATGTATCATACAAATGAGGTTTTCCCTTGAGAACATACCAGCATATGCGATGTTATTTGGATTGTAGGATTTCATTGTATGTTTTAGTGAAATTCCTTTGATGCATAACTGATATCTAGTGAGTGCCATTTATACAAGTAATCATTGGGAAAGAGCAGAATGAGAAAGGATTGAAGGCTGAACTGTGCATGATGCATTGCATCTGAAAGATCCTGGCCACTTCCAAGAAAAATGTTCCCTAATGAGTACTAAAGATCTTTACTTATCCTGAGACAAAGAGTATGCATGCCATTCTTTGAGTGATGGAGTGTTTTTAATATCTATACCAGCATGACCATCCATTGCAAATTAATTCCTTTGTCTAGTCAATGAATGTAGGTGTTTGTATTCGTGTATCAATCCCATACTAATTGCTTCCAGAAGAAAAAATTTGATGCAGTTCTTCTACAGTCCAAGTAAATAAGTCAGTTGCTTTCTTTATTCAGGGGGTTGCTGAAGTCTAAAACATGTTTCACAGGCATCCAACGATTACTCTCTTTTAGCAGTACATTGTGACCACAGTGAAAATGCTTATATTTTGTTAATTAGTTAATAAATGTCAGAAACCAGTTCAGTGCAACCCAGCCTGAGGAAATCAAGTTATACAATTATATATTCTGAATTAAGCATGATAAGTGGTAGAAACTGAGCGGCTTTGCATTCGATAATGCATAATGGTGGTGAGGTATATGTGAGTTGTTCCACCCTTGTGGACTTGGACACATTTGATGGGATATCAATACCTATAAGAGTAAAGAAAAATAATTAAATTAGTTGCTCCTGTTCAAAAGGGGTAGCTACATGTGGAATGCAGAGTTTGATTAGAAAAATTGCATACCCTTCAAAAACAATTTTGGATATGAATGTAAATGGCATCTTGAAAGGATTTTTCCAAGTTTCACAATCTAATGCAATGCACTGGTATATGATGGATGCCTTGGAATGGAAATTCATGTTTCACTGTGGACACCTTGTACACTTTGGCACCCTTTCTTCATGTCTAGTTTCAATTATACACTTTGACCATCAGGTCAGAATTTTGCTACATTCATTAAGGGAAGGAATTACAACCTAGATGAGATGATCAACTCCAAGATGATGCTGTTTGAGGTCTGTGAGAATCAGGATAGGGTGGAAATCATTCAGCTGGTGTCTTTTTTTTTTTTTTTTTAGCTTTGCCTAACATTTGTGAAAACAGTACATTGCTATGCATAAACACTTAGTCAACCTTCATGCATGAAAATATCATTTTTATTGTACCATCACCTTCAATGAACTTATCACACAGAGACCATGAACCTACACATTCCTTGATTGGCAACTCCACATTCCATTGATTTGTTCCAACTTCTTCAGAGATTTTTACGATTGCATAGTTCAATATATGAGAAAAAGTGAACTGTATATGTGGTACAATAGATTCATCTTAAATACAGAAGGTATTGAAATAAGCTGAAGTTATTTTTTAAAGTGGCTTGGGTGGAATGGGCTCTGGAGAGAAATTAGTATTATGGATCTCAGGCTTGTAGGTCAACAGGACAATCATCACCCATAAGTGTAAGAGGATCTGAAAAAAAAAATCATTTCAATGCTTAAAAATTAAGTTAATTATTTCAACTTTTTTTGTGTTCACTAACCATATAAATGATGATGAGGGTCCGAGCCATGGGGTAACGACGGAGAGTGCGCCCCAGGCGAACACTGAAGCGGTCCAGAGTGCTGTAGGCCCTTTTAACACGCCTGGTAACCCCACTATCAAATGGGTTCTCAATCATGAAGCTTGGGTACTGAGCCTTTGCTAAAAAGAAAGGACATAAAATGAATTCAGGTTTAGATGGCATAAAAAAAAAATTTGCAGTCAGTCACCATCATCGGTTGAATTCATGTTGATGAAGGAGCTGCTTGGGCGAGGAAACAGGCCATCTCTTTTCACTTGATCCTGTGGAAGTGATTAAAAGAGAAAATTTCATTATTGTTGAAAGCAAATGTCTGTCTGCCACTGGGAGACTTCATTGCTCTGTGCTGACACCATACCTCAAGACGTTCCAGTTGAAGAGTCAGAGAGTTCTTCTCAGTGCTCAATGTTTCAATGAGTGTCTGCTTCTGTATGAGACTCTCTGTGAGACTTTGGAGTCGAGCCTCCAATTCCGTTGTAGAACTTGATGACAGTTGCTTGGCAGTGAGCTGTTGTCTCAGTCGTCCTATCTCCTGCTCTCTCTCATCAATTCGACTTGAGAGTGTTGTCTTCTGCTTCAGAAGTTCATCTCTCAGGTATTGGATTTCCTGTTAAATAAAATCTATGTTATTTGTTAAGCTGGGGTACAATCTGCTTCAGATGAACAAAAGAGAAGCTACAAAAAAAGGCATTGAAATGACATGAATTTGCCAAGTACTATCAACTCAAAAGAAAACCAGTATTATTCAGTTGTTGAAGATTTGCAACATGATCGACAACTAAGACTCTGCAATAAACTTCTGTCGCTTTAAACCCTGGTAATGCAGGAGAGCATCCACACAACTCACTTCATTCAGGTGTTTACACTCTTTTTCCAATTCCTCCTTCTTATGACTCTCATCTTTGAGGCTGTCTTCTAGAGTCCTTTGAGTCTCATGTGCTGCAGCTGCATCAGATTGAATTGTAGTTTCTTGCTCATAGAGCTGAGTTTTCAACTGCTGCAGAGTCACCTGGGTCTGCTGGATCTCTTCACGCAGCAGGTCTCTCTCCTGTCTGAAGCCAAGAAAGATTGTCAAATACACATCTATGCAGCTCACTGTCCTTATCAGCACCTGCTTTCCTACTTGATTTGATCCAATTCCATTTTCAGTGACTCCACTTCCTTGCTGTCCACTCCAGATCCATCTGCCTTGTTGCCTTCCTTTAGACTAGAAATCAGTTTCTCCTTACTTTGTAGTATCCGTTGTGCTTTCTGCTTGTACTCGGCATATTCTTCCTGGGCAGCTTCTTTGCTCTCCTTTTCCCGTTGCAAGCGAGCACTCAGTTCACTTGCCCATTCCTTGCTTTCTTTCATCTTTCCTTGCATTTCCGTTAAGGTGGCAGATAAAGCTGCTTTTTCCTCCTCCAGCTGAGATGACCTGATAGGAATAGAATGCATACAGCATTAAAGAAACTACTATTGGATGATGCATTTGAAAGCAAATGGAAAACCTCTGCATAGCCTCTGCTTGGGCAGCACGATGAGCAGACTGCTCTCGTTCCAAAGCAGCCTCTAACTCGACCACTTTTCCCTGGAGAGACTCCAGAGCTTGATTATGTAAACCACTTGATTCACTGCTGGCCTGAATGATCCTAAATTAAATACAAAAATACATATGAAAGAGGCTACCAAGTGATAACCTTCCCATCCATTAGAAATTGTGCCTTCCACTTACATCTGATTCTCCTGACGAAGTTTCTCCAAAAAATCTTCTTTGATTTTGAGGTCACTGTCTGCCTCCTGAAGGCGAACTCTAAGCACAGCCAGCTGAGAGTCCTTGGCCTGAAGTGCATCAGTCATATCCCTCGATTTGGCTTCCAACTCCTTGATGATTGCTTGCTTGGATTTCATTTCTGACTTGCTGAGTTCTATAGTTTTCTCCATTTTTTTATTCTCTGTTTCATTATAAAAAGATTTTAGAGGTTGATATGCTCATGCCTATATTCTTAGGGTAGGAGGAATGAATATCTTACCTTGCTCCTGATCCTTGACTCTCTTCAACAATTGGTTCATTTCTTCATTAAGAGAGTTGACTTCACTCCTTAAGAGGGAATTCTCATCCATAACTGGAGGACTGGTTTCATTCTCCCTGGACATTTGCCAATTTGGCTGAAATCCTTCACCTAAGCCTGAGTGACCACTACGATTGGTCTTCAAGGTCTCTGCTTCTTCAACGTCAGTTTTCATCTCTAATGGAAAGAAAGAGAAAGTGTACCATATTTTTGTATAACAAATGGAGGGGGGAGGATTGGGAAGATATTTACCAATCTGTTCCATGGCTCCTAGGAGCAACTGCTCCTGAGTAACTTCTGCATCAACTACTGATTCTCCAAAGGTTGATGTTGATTCAGACTAATAAGATTAAGGGGTGTTAATAGTGCAGAATCAGTATTGGGCATTTACACTAGTAAGCTATGCCTACAGTACCCATTTCTAAATAATAATAAAATTATAACCTTGGCACTTGGATTCACTGAATCAGGATTGTTGAGATACTCCATTAGTTCGTCGTCCTTAGGCTTGGGGCGATGAATGGGGCTATCCTTTCTGTTAGCTGAAGAATTGGATTTCTGATGAGCTGAATCCCAATAAGATGACAGGTTGTGTGGGACACTGGACGCTGGTGTTAGATTCTTCCGTGGTCTGTAGGAAGAAACAGATTACCGATATCAAATTCACATCGGCCTCTTTATTGTGAAGCTCAAACCAGAACGTCCTTCAAATTGAGGTAAATTTCATTGTTTGATGATCCTGGGAGAGCTTCAACGTACGCTGATGGCTGTGATTGAGCATCAGCACCCACTTCTTTCTCGGTTTCATAATTACTTGGTGCACTTGGCACTGCAAATGTAGAACTCAATAAACCAGTGTCCGTTTGCAAGGCCTGTGCTGCCCCCTGATCCACACGATTTAGAAACTCTTCAGCCTTCTCTGCCCACCCAGACAACCAGCTCATTTCCCTGGAGAGAGGAGAGATTGAAGGAGTTCAGCAATACATGGTTGCAATTTTACAGCTAGACTATGGACCTTATCATGAGAAGCACAACGGGAACAAGAGCGCCGCCATGTCAATAACTTAGTGTTGCTGCCCCTCCCTGGCGCTAAAAGGCGTGCACATATTCGGCTAGCACGCAGTCTAGACAGAGGAACCTCTTTCAAAATCATAAAAAATTAGTTTTAAATGTTTTTTTTGTGATACCTTTCCCACTCTGTGTCTTACTTTAGCAGATAGAGGATGGAAATATTGGTTGGCATATCTCTATGGCATCCTTTGCTCGCTGTACGTCGGACCTACGACGACGAGAGCCGACGAGAGGTACGGAATGAACAAACCGGGGATGCATGGCTCATTGTGAATGTGAATTGTGAATCTGTCCTTTTAAGCTCTATGGGACTTTCGTCGTGTGCTGGACCGCTGGTGCTCATGTTAGCTAATTCAGTAATGACGTCAGGCCATTTGTGAGATTTCCTGTTTCGGGGAAAAGTTAGACCTATTCGCTGTTTTAGGACGACTTCCCAGGATGGCGATGAAGACGTGTGAGTGTTTTTCGAATCAAGTCATAGTAGGCCTAAGCGTATTGTAATTACTGCTTAGCAAAGCAACTAGGATCATGCTTACTCTTAAGAAGGTCCGCCTATTTGCTGGAGCTCTACCGCACTAGAATACCTACACGGTTGCCTGTATTAGTAAAAGGAAAAGTGTAGCTCGCAAAACTACGGGAGGTGGAGATGCGGACTTATCGAGAAAGGCACAACTAACTAGTGCTTATGGAATGACGTTTTATCTATAGACCCTGCTTCCCTGGCACTGTTGTTAATGGAACTTGAGCAATAGCAATCGCAGTCGCCCTTAATGGCAAAAGGGTACATCTAGGAGTTAGGCCCATGAAACGACGCCCGTTTTTGAGTGAGAGAGCAGCTACTGGGCAATAGAGCCCATTGAAAAACATGTATAATGCAATTTAAAATATTCTCATGGAGGGTGCTGTCAGAGGTAGGAGTAGAGGTATTAGTTTTGGGGCTGCAGGTATTTGAGGTTGAGTTCACCCACTACTATAAGGGTACTGGTGCTGTTGAATTGGGAATGGTTAGAGATCCACAATATTTGTAAATGACCTTGTACTTAAATAAGAGAAAAATAAATTCATTGCTTCAGCCAGTAGAACTTCAAGGAATTTGGCCTGTTGCACCTCAAGGGGGCTAAAGAGCTGGAAAGCTCAAGCTAAAAGAAGAGAAAGAGAGAAGAAAGGTGAAGAGCCAAGCCAAAAGCAGATGAGAGGGATAATCCCATCAGGGAAGGTGGTACCAAGTCAGAATTCCTCAATTCCCTTATGATTGATTAGAATCTTAGGAAAGGTCTGAATGGTGGAGAGCATGCTCTGTGATGTTGATGGAGTTGTTTGAAATAATGAAACATGACTTATTGGATTCAGAAGATTTAATGAAAATAGAACAAAGATGTCCCATGAAGCAGTCATCCAAACAATTTCCAGGTTCTCCTACAGTTACTTTGAAAAGGTGGATTGTGCAAGAATAGATAAATGAAGGAGGAGGAGGAAAAGAAGGGAGAAGTGAAATTATTAAATAACTTAAAAAATAGTTCCAGATGAACTGAGAGACTAAATTTTAGGATGGGATGCAATATTATTAATATTTATGTCCCACCAGAAGGCAAGTAGAGGTAGAGAGGAGAAGATGGGAGCAGCACCAGGTTTAGACGATGTAATGGTAAAGTTGTTGTTGGTGTTTGTGTCATTGTGGATGAGAGGGTGATAGGTTGTCACAAAGGGATGTAGGAGATTTCTGATGATGGAAGATTGACAGAAAGAGATGAGACTAGTTGGTTGGATGAGATGGATGGATTAGTTGAGGATGAAGCAGTTGGCTAGGAATTCATGATTCTCCTCAAGGTCTTGTAGACTTGCTCAGAAGGAAAACCACGTAGGACAAAAATGTAAAAAAGTTGATTGGCTCTTGTAAGATAATTTTCAAGGGAGGATGAATTCTTTCAGATGAAGAAATTCAGAATGAGGGACGGAGAACTTGCATTGGTAAGGATGAGGAAGTGAAGGATAGATATGAATGAAAGTTTGGGTTTCCAGATGTCAGTAGAAAGCCCATAATGGAGGAGAGTAATTGAGATCATGAGGTCCAGATACAATAGGTGTTCAGAAGTTAACATTAATTTTTTTTTTTGTAACCTAAATGTAATATGCAAAAAAATTGCATTCAAGTGAAAGTATATGTCTTCCTTTATTTTCATTTCAGATTGCCTTGATTACTTTCATTTGTATGTCAGTTTTTTTGTGATATGTTTAGTTTACAATAAAAAATAAATTCCCTTTACTTTCCAAATGCCCCTCATAGTTAATAGAGGTATCACTGATGATAAAATTGAAGAGTGAACCATGGAAGAAATTGCATGAATGAATGGAGAAGTTCCCTGCATAGGCAAAGAAGAAACAATGAGATATGTACTGAATTCACATTATTTGTTCTTTGAATTGTTCACATTATATATTTTGGACTGGAGGAAACATGTTCTACTTGTCAGTATTTTTGTAGAAAATATTAGCATTTTAAGGATGTGTATACTCATGAAATCGCTGTATGGGTTAACCAATAATCATCCATTTGATTTATTTGTTAGGGTCATGTGGAAACTGCTATGAGAATCATAGAGTATTGTAAACTAAGCAAAGAAGACAACAAGATTGCTGTAAAATCAGCATTGAAAGTCTCATATGAGTCTGATCAGTGGGGAAAAAAAAGGACTTCAATGGAAAGCTTCTTCAGTGTATACTTTCCATTGAAGGAGCTTTGCAAATACAGTTTTTTTTGTGGAATGAGATATTTTAGGACTCCTACTTTGCATAAGATGTAGTAATTTTCAAATGGGATGTTTTTTTTTCAGCTGAGTGGATTGATTTTTTTCTTGGAGCGAACCTGCCTGCCAGCATAGCAGCTAACTATGCTGTGATTTTCCATGAGAACAGAATCAGGAAAGATATGCTCATGGATCTGAACAAGGAATATCTTAAGGAAATGGGAATCACAGTCATGGGTGATGTGATTGCCATCCTAAAACATGCCCGGAAATTCCATGAAAAGGTTTGCCATACATACTTGTTTCTAATGAAATAGTTTTGCCTTTTAGGAGATATGTTGCAAAAGTAGGCTACTTGGGAATTCTTTCAGGATCGAACCTCCGGTTTGGTTGGTGAGTCTGGTGACAAGATTTTGGCTTCCAGAATAGTAGATTCTTCCAAATGTTCAAGAGTCTCTTTGGAAGAAAAACAAAAACCTACTGATACATCAAAAAGTGCCAGTGAGTATGCTGCACCACATACTTTGATATTCCAGGGTTTGAAATTTGCAGGAGCTATGGGGTCTGAGACTCCAAGATGCAAGTTTGTATATAACACTGGAACCTCCACCTTTTGGGCTCCAGCAAATTCCAAACCCTGTATTGTAATGTTTTAAGAGCATGGCAACTAATAACAGGCTTAAAGCTGTGAACAGCATGATGGAGAAGAGATAGGCACATCATGCCATATGGTTTGATGTTTTATGCCCCATGCACATGGTATGGATGGTACAAGATTTGCTGCTAAGCAGTCAAGGATTCTCTCCCTTCATTGACATGTTACCTCAAACTGATGAGCCTCTGGTACATTTTGTTTTTGGAAGTTAGGGGCAACTGCATCCCTTTTCCCCAGCATCCACAACCTTACCTGCTTTTATGCATGAGGAACCTGCATTAATTAAGTACTGAAGTAAATCCTAGCTAATGGCATAACATTTGTCACACAATTATAATTATATCAAGTACAGGGTGTCTCAGAAGTTGCGAATTAATGTAAATTGCATTTTCTCTGCACCCCTCCTATGGATTGAAACAATCTATACAGCATTGAAAGCAGAATTCTGGGGTAATTTTGTAAATATATTGTTCACTGCACACAACTCAGTGAGGCAGGAGTGGTGATGATTTTCTGAACAGCACTCATTTTGACATTTCTGTTGGAGCAGCTTCGTGTTTGTGTGGTTGCATCACATCTGAAGTTTTGTGTACTTTCAGAAGCGGTTTGTTTGTTGTTTGTGGACACATCAGTGATTTATTTTGTGCCCTTCCTATGGGTGGTAATTTTTGTGGTGTTTTCAAAATGCATGATTTGTACCAAAACTTGTGGAAAAAGTGATGTTCAGAACACCCTCTCCAATTGATCTTTTTGTTACCCATCATATTTGTTCATATTTCAAATAAATTTCCTCCAAATTCTGCTTTTAATGCTGTATAGATAATTTCAATCCACGTGGTGGGCATTGAGAAATTACAATTTAGATTTGTTCACAACTTCTGAGACACCCTGCTCTTTTTTTGGACAGGGTTTCATGACAGTTTTTTGCATGTCTGAATAAAAAGTCAAATTTTCTTCTCATCTGTTACATGGACATTTTACAGCAAAGAGAATGTTGAAGCAATGCAATGATGGTGATACAGGATCTCAGAAAATGCCTGTCATGAGTCTGACACATAGGAAACAAAGTCAGGGTGAGTACAGTTTTCATTCCTCTCAATTAATTACAAAAGATGTATCCCAGGCATTCTTAAGAAAGGTAAATTATGTCATTTCCTTTTGCCTGGTGATGAAATTGACTACGTCTCTTTGATATCCATTTTTATTTGATTACCTTTTCTGTTCAGAATTTTGAACTATCACTTCATGGAATTAAAAAAAAAATTGTTTACACATAGGTTGGTGTGAGTTCATGTCTTCAGATTGTCTGAATGTATCCTTGGAAGGGATAACTGTTGCAGAATCATCTGTCTCCTTCATTATTCCCTAGTGATAAAAACCACAATTGTTTATGGCACATGATCTCTGGAAAAGGTTTTTGCCACCCAAAGCCCTGTGAAACCTGTCTGAATGAGTACAAATGTGCAAACTTACTTTTTATGTTGGTTTCTATACTTG